CATTTGTGATACAACGTTGGTATCGCCGATCGAGAATTCAACCATAAATTCGCGGTCCAAAGAAGCCATCTCAGCCACCCAGATAATCGGAAAAGCCGGGGATATCAATATTGACGAAAGACATGTCACAAAGTAAGAATGGCTTCAGTCTGGGAGACCCTTTACTAATGCGCTGCAGCCAGCATCAAGGACGTAGTTTCTCGGGACGGAAAGCAAGAGCAGTGCAATGTCGCTCTTCCAACTCGACAACGGGCCGAGAATAACACACGAAATAAAGTAGTGTGGCAAAAAAACATACTTTCTGGGGGTCGAGTCGATTGGGTTATAGTTGGTTTTAGTGCACCAGCACTCATCGAGAAGAAGGTTGACGCGCAGGTTGATGCCAGGGAGATTCTTTCAGGGAGAAAAAAGAAGAATTCGGGAGGTGTTATCGTTGCCGCGGTTTCCATCGAGCTACCAAGTAAAATCGAGAACGGTGCACCGGGTCTGCTTATTGGAAATGGAGGTTCAAGAGAGATATGTAAAGATCAGGTGGAGAAAGCGGAAGGAATCACAATGAAGGCTACCACCGAAGACGCAATTACCCTCGAGAACAAGAAAACATCTGGGCACAGTTGCGAAGAAATAAAATCTGGAGAGACTTCTGAGAATCATGAGGAGTCAGAAGGGAGAATCAATATTTCAGAAAATGGGGGCAACCCGATACCATTCGAAGACAGAAGCGACGGCAAAGCTCCACACACGACAGTGGAACTCTTCCAGTCTCAAAGTTATAAAAGTTCGGTAGCACATCGTAACTTCCCTAGTGTCTCCGGAAGAGAAAGTAGAGACCTCGAAAGGGAGAGTAGAGATTTACATTTCAGAATGCAGAGCGATCAGGAGCCCAGAGCCACATGGTCAACTTCAAGCCCAAAAAGACGACTAAGTAATTCTCAGTCACGAGTTTCATCAACCACGTCAACATCAGCGAGGAGACCACATCCTGCCGAAATTATAAAATCATTCCGAAGCAGTGTATCTACGAGTTCGAATAGTCTTAGAGCGGTGTACTCTCCTATCTTCAATACACAAAACTCGAAGGCACGCCTTACTACCTCAATCTTGCCAAGAACCAGCCAACCTATAACGAGAAGACCCAAAACGACAATCACTGTCGCTTCAAGAATGATAACACATGCTTTGGGTGTACGAGCGGTCCCTAAAGTGCTAGAACCCGAGGTAGAATTTAAATAGACTTTCTTTTTGCATGAAATAATATTTGGAAGGCTCTGAAATGGTTCGAAATACTTATTGATATTGCATGGATCACAATCATGTTGGCGTTGGATGTTCTTTCTCTTTTCAATCTGAAGTTTTACAGACAATTTCCACAAACAGCAAGTAGGAGCGTTTTACGAACAATAGATTTGTCAAATACAGCAGGAATAATTATTACCATTTGAAATGACCTTCCTGTTCTGAGATGCACTAGAAATAAAGATTGTTATCAATGTGTCCTGTTTCTGCTTCTCTTTCTCACATACAATGACCATCAATTTTTTCATCTTTTTACACACGCGTATCTCTAATTGCCCATTGTATAATTTCATTTATTACTGGTATTTAATCTTTATCATTTATCTATACTTTAACTACAGTCCAAATTCTCACCAAGAAATACTCTCTATCTGTCAAGTCTTCGATTCCAGTATCAGTAACAGCGGCTCCAACAACGAATATATACATACGATAGAAAGCAACTGTAGTGTTCATAAACCTGGCATCTAATACCTTATCACGATGTCAGATACAGACCAGGTAATGGCAGATTTTGGAAAGAGGTACTCAGCAATTTTTTGTGGTGCCAAATTGGACGAATCTGATAAGAAGGTTAAGACGCCGCCAGTTGATTGCTCCTCCGAACCTCAAATTCAGGAAGATTCTGGATGGGTTTGTGATTTGTCTAGAGATGAGGGTGAAGAGACAAAGGTCTTCCAAGATACCGAGAAAAGGGAAGCCAGAGAAATTTCTTTCAGAGGAAGAGATCATAGCAGAAAAGTTGCCCGAGGAAATGTCGATAGAAGAAAGTACTCCAGACGAAGTCATTCCAGGTTGAGAGACCTTGGGAGAGGAATTTTCCGGGAAAACATCGACCAAGGTACTAAGGTCTATGAAGAAAATAGGATGGTACTTCGGAATATGTATAATATGGAAGTTAATATTGCTGAATATGCTGCGTGGTCGTTACCTGACTTTCTTTGGATAAAACTGGTATGAGGATAATCCTCGTTGAAACCTCCAAGAAGGTTCATTTGCTAACAGGAAAAAGGAAAATAAGCGTTCTGAGACCATCAAGCTATCTGAGATGTTATGGAAATATTGGGGAGAAAATAATAAAATGTTCGGAAAGACTCCTTTGCATCATCTTCAATCCCTCACACCAAGAGGCATGATGTCATACACTATCGAAGGACTCAAAAAACTCTTATATTTCAGGACTGATGACTATCCTATCGAGTGCGAAGTTTTGAAACACCTCAATTCCGAGACACTCTCTTTCTGCGCGACCACTGAGCGCCCGATTGACGTCGAGGCAGTCGAACTATCAATGTGTCTGATGCTTGATGAGAGATTGAATAAGTTAGGACCTTCAAGTTCTATCGAGGCAGCTAAGGATCCTTGTAATAACCTCTTAGGCTGTTCAGCAGTGGCAGAACTTCCTCTAACGCCGCAGATAGATATAAGAGTCTCTCAAATTTACGTCTTCGTCGCTGCGCTAAAGTACTTTATCTCCAAATACTTGTATTCTCAAAGTGGTCTCACACCATATACTTTCTGTACGCTCAATCAATTCCTAGCCTCTTCAAACGCAAATAGAGATACAGAATGGTATGTTAGACTCTCAAACCGATGCCAATGCAAACTGGGGGTCCATGAATGGCTGGAGGAATTCATACATGATATTAGCGCTCAAAACCTCAGAGCTGACCGATTAAAACATCCCGAACACTACAGTAACTACGCTAGAAACATACAGGAGGGCAAAACAAAAACTCCCCTTTATGTGATTTCTTGTCTCTATCTAAAGTTCATTGCCAAAAAGTGCTTCGGCGAACAAACCAGACCAATTGGCATGATTTTACTCCAGGTATTTGCCATGAAGTGGATGCATTATATGATTCTACCTTTTGATGAAGATGACTGGGAGTTCCGGGCAGTCATGTGCAGCTTATCAGACATGCCAATTATGGATTTGACAGATTACTTGGAGAAAGTGCTTCGCAAGAGAGTCGATGGAATTATCCAACACTCGATGGATAGACGAGGGACTCGATTGATTCCAGCTGGGCGTGTCGCGTTTTCTGAGTCTACAATGATTTTTGTTCGACGTTTCGTGTATGTCACTGATAGATAATGACAGCTTAGAGTACAGCGCGGATTGATTAAAAGTCAATGAGACAGCGCTACCTTGAATTTTGTTCATTTTTCGCGGGGTTCAAGAAAGAATCACGCGGGCACATGAGCACATCAGCGGGTTCCTGTGTAATTAAAATTAGTTGAAGTAATAGCGAATATGAATCACATTCAGTGAAAGCAAACGATTTTTTTCAGGTAGAAAAGATGTTTGTATGTGGGTATTATTGTGGACGCTGAATGAACAACAATGTGAAGGGATGGGAGAACTTCGGGACTGGCTATTAAGGGGATTTTCGGCTCGAGTGACCGCCTTGAGTTCAATTGTTTATGCAAAAATAGGTATCTAGACAGTTCGAATTGTCTTGTGGGTAATTAAAAAGATTAATGCTTCTAAAACAAAATCTTTTTTGATAGAAGTAGTGTTTGTCAGTGCATGAGGCTGAGAGCGGAATAACATCTGGGGAGTGCAAGCAAGGCTGTGAGTGTGTAATGATGAGATAAGCTGAAGGTGGGAGAGTGGTACATGTATGGGCTGGGGAATACTGCAAGTACGGGAGATATTAATTTAATTATATTAAGTATCACATATAGGATTGATTCAATAGATAACACATATCAAGAGAGTTAATGATGATTATACATAGATACAAATGATGAACGAAAAGCGCGTTGATCCTCCAGGTCTCCAGCAGCCAAACCTTTCCAAACCAATCTACAAAAAATGATTTGTATTGTATGTATGAACGTGGGTGCACCCCCTCACAGATAGACTCTGTCTTGAGTACTTTGATGTTCACTTCAATCTGCAACAAACAACACCTGATGATTCAGACAGAGAGATATGGAAGATCGTCAACTGTAAGAATCGATGGTACTTGAAACTGTGACTTCCCTACTATGTTTGAACAACTTTGCGTCCCATTCGCAATACCTCTACTATGGGTGTATTGATATCCAAGTTTGATCTGCATTAAGTAACATGCTGTGAGGCTCAGAAAGCAATAATGGGGATATTACTGTGAGGATCCATGGTACTTGATGGGTTGGAGAGGAAAGGAAAAGAAAAGAAAGGAAGAGAGAAGATCAGAAGGGAAGTACTTAAGCAGGGAAATGGGATCTGAGAGACTAGTACGAAAACAGATCTATCCAATGATAAATCAAGAGCAGAAGAGGCTTAGCAAGGGTGGTGGTCTGATTTTTATCTGCTTTTTCCACGCTAGGGAAGATCGGAAATTCTGCCGTTTTTGAATTCTATTTGATCTGCTGCACTTTTAGTGATTTCAGGTTTCCCACAAATTATTACAACAAACAAAAACATCCTCTTCTTCTTCTTCTTCTTCTTCTATCCTTCTACAGAGCTGCCTTCTCGACTCCTACCATGCAAAAGATGATGGAGAGGACGGAGCACGGCGCCATTTAACTCGATTGCCCTATGGGCTCCGTTCTCTCAACGCGAAACCAGTTCAAATAGGTATGTGAGATCGAATACTTCCAATTTATTTCATCACTGGCATCCACTTGTCATCATACATCTATTAGATACTTGATTGATATCGAAAGGATACCTTACTAACAATCAATTCTGCTTCAGCGATGATCAACCAATCGTTCAAAAACAACACGGAGAGGCAGGGCATCCATAAGTCCCTGACCTCTCAAAGTGAAACAAATACAAAAAGGTATGTGAAAATAAAATCTTCCCCACTCACAGTTGTTGCTTACCATCATCATCTTTGACTGCTGCGTCAACCTGGACGTGATCACATGCTAACCCTCTATTCTCTCCAGAGCTTTGAGCAGATGATAAAACGCGACTGGAGCGGCCCACCTCGGCCTTACCCACCGCAGGTGGTGCCAAGATTATCGGCAGGTATGTTCATCCCATCTCTCCCAATTCATGGTGAGAAATTTGCTAACCATGTGAATTCACAGGTAATTAGAGGACTGAAATGACGCGATTATATGACAAGCCATGGCGGAGTGGGAGTTGGCTCCCTGCAGTTGCCAGAACTCATCAACAATCACAAGTCTTGAGGGAACCAGCTCCTACTCCTGCCTAGCCTAGCTCACAGACTTTGAGCGTATTGATGAGAACCATCAGTCACTTGCGACTGATGATTCAAGTCATCAGATGCTGCTCTCTGAGCCTGAACTGTCAAGTTTGACCTCGGGCCTCGGAAGCATTGAGTTGCAGCCTGTTGCTCAGAGTGAGAACAGTGCTTATAGAAAGAGGAGGTCTGCTGGGAAATTTAGTGGTGGTGCGTGCTGTGCGACTTTCAGGTAAGTTTCTTCTTTCTGCTTAAACAAAGCCGACGCTTGCTGACTCTACATTGGTAGATCAAGAATTGATTAGGCAAATAAGTCTGTGGGGAAATATGGTGGTGGTGTGGTGGGGGGCACCTCAAGTAAGTTTTTTTCTCATCCGTCCAACCCTCTTCTTCCTTCTTTCGATCCACTTGATTCAACTTGATGTTCGTGACAAGACTAACACATTCAAGCAGAAGACAATGGAGGATCCCGGTACCAACGATCCTGCGGTTGAGCCACCTCAAAAGGCTAGAACTCCTCTTCCGAGTCCAGGTGAACAAAACTCCATGCTCGTGTACGATCTTTGCTAACTCGATAAAAAAGCAAAAAATGAGAACTTGGCAACCAACAATCGTTTACTCCCAACCCAGGTTGTGGCCTGCGTGGTCCAATCAGGTGTAAGTGACATCCATCTCCCACATTTCAAAAGAACTAGCTGACTAACTTAGAAATCCAAGATTTAGTGGCCTATTCGAAAATGCCTTCTTGTGCCGATTTCTAGGCTCTGTGTTCTTCCTCTGTTCGACCTCTCTTTCGGCAGAAAATGAGGTCGCAATCGCGCGATGGAAATTCAACCGAGCAAGAACAGAGAAAGAACACAGAGCCTAGAAAACAATGGTGCTCAGGTAACTTTCCATGTACCAACTGAGTGTTGAGGGTCCGGCTTGTACTTTTAACAACGACTATGTTCGTGGTCGAAGATTGAAAATACAGCCGGACCCTCAACACTCAGTACCTACCGACTGTACCACAAGACAACAGCCACCGTCTGTTAATGACTTTTCGACGTCAACTCCGGAACAACTCGATAACCAGCCAGGCCGCTTCAACCTCAGTCGCAGCACTCAAGTAGCACTGACTATGGTTCTTGCTCCCATCTTGAACAAGTAAGCTGTCCTTTTACAAGCGTCATAATTCGAGTAAAGGCTAACCTCACCATCAGATATTACAATAACCAAAAGAGAATGGGGGAAATCAAGGTGGTGGTTTTGTTTGGACGAAAATTGTGGTGATGGACTGTGTAGTAGCTATTAGCGTTACGTAACAATAAACTTTTTTCTCTCTAGCCGTCTCCGGACGTGCCTCTTTCGATGTGAATTCACTGAGCTGTGGTTGTGAGGTGGAATAAATTCAAGGTACTGGCTTCAAAGCTAGGATGCTTCAGGTATGTCGAGATCTTCCATCATCCTTTTCGAACCTTTGCTAACGGCGCTTTTCTGCAGATCGATCTTCAGTCTTCCGAGTTCCTCGTCTTCACTTTTGGGAGGATGGACCACAATCAAAATCGAACTGTGCACTGCTGTTTCGACGATCCTAGAAAGATCACAGTTGGTGCGGTCTTTGAAGTCCTCGCGGTTCAAGTTTTTCGAACTGTAAGTCATTCATTTGGTGTCATGAGAAACCCATTTCTGACTCTTCTAGTAGCCGCCCAAAGTTTTGTGTAAGACGCTGAGTGCCAACACTGTGAGATGAAGCTACTCCAGTGGTTAATCCATGGGGTTGAATGGGCTTAATTGGCTCAATCTTGAAGTGGAGTCCGCACCGCACAAGCTCATTGGCGAGATTGTCATGGTAGCTGCAGTAGCTCGCAGCCATGGACTGATTTCTCAACGAATCACAAGCTTTCCAAATCATCGACCTGGCATGATCCAGCTCATCTTTCGCAAATTCAAGCCGGGGTGCCGACCAATACTCGCTCACGTCTCAGGAACGAGAGAGCTTCTCTCAAATCCTAGATGGTGGTGGACTCCGAAGCTGAAGATGATATGCGAGAGCCTAGAAGCGAACTCAAGCTTCCACCACGGTCAACACCAGCATGCTATCTTATTGCAGACTTCTTGGGCTCGATCCCAAGAATGCGAAGGTAATTGGTTCCAGCCTCGAGGACCTAAGATGGTATGCGAGAGCCTGGAACCACGAACTTAAGCTTTCACCACGATCAACACCAGCACACATGTACACCCCTTTCAGGGAGGCAAATGGTATGCGAGAGCATACAATGGGGAAATTGGGCTTCTTCCACAATCAAGACCAGCGATGTTGGAGATGGCGGTGCAAACATGTACATAACCGATTGCATCTTGCCTGGTGTTCGCACGTACACCGAGACCTATCTCCTGCGGATCAGCCAGAAATTTTCAAGGCTCCGGAGGTGCCACGATTAACACCAGCAAGCCATTGAGGCATTTAACTTGCAAGCCTGATGCAAGGAGTATGCCAAGTTACAGTGCGACTTGGTTCAGCAACAAATCCGACGTGTACGAGAGTTGGGACCAAGTCACATTGCAACTTGGCATACTGTATTTTTTGTCATGGTTCTGTATATTAGTTTATTAGGTAGCAATATATCTGATTCACCTCAGCCGCCTCGGCGTGCACAGTGATGGTGGTGATTATCGTGATTCTTGTGATCATGCTTGTGTTTTTGTTTTGTTGGTAGGTAAACTCCCAGAAAGCTCGAATTCACGCGAAACACTTTCGTGCTACATTTGTTAACCTTTTTGCAGCAGTTTTCCGCGACTTTTCCGAGAAGATTTAATCGATGGAAGGAGATTCGAGGACTACATGCCGCTGCTAATACTTTTGGCTCCTCTGCTCGTGGGTGCATCAAGTCCAACGGAAACCCGCAAATGATCGCAGAAATTGCGCCTTTGTCTGCTCAATCTTTTTTCGTAGGTTTAGAACATCGCAATTGTTTTCGAGTGTACTAATCATGGATAGTACCCAGTTGTACCCAATTGGTCAAGTCTACGACCAAGAAGCTACACGACTTTGCTTACGAATTATTTTTCGAAATTTTCGTTAGCAGCAATGGAGGAGTCTCGTACTCAGCGCGACAAGAGGGGCCAAATGTCTCCAACCCAAGAGGAGTATAACCGGGTCACGGCTTCGGCCTCCGTCACGGTCCTCGCGAAGCAGCTACACGACTTTGCTTACGACACCACTGGTAACAGCAAATACCCTGGGCAGGGCAGCTCACAACAATAATATGTGGCGCCCTCTCCACTCACCACCTGACCTTGCCCGGGCAAAAATATTGTTGAGGCAACGGTCGTCGCGAGAGCACGGCCAGCTATCGTCAAGAAGCTGGTCAGATTTATTCAAATTACAATAAAACTATGGACCGCTAAAATATGTCATTAACCTATCATTGACGAACCTATCATTGACGGGACATTGCTCCGGATCAAGGAACAGCTTCTATTCAAAGAGTTGGAGATGTTGTCACTCCTCTTACACAAAGCGCATACAAGTGGGAATACTGCAGAACTTCATGTGCCCTGCACCTCAGGAAGTCAAAGGAAGCAGTACGAATTTCGACGGAGACGATATCTTTAACTTCGCTTTCCCAAGAGAATTCTCACTCCCTCTCTGAATGATCGCTTGATCGCAATCCCACTGAGCATCTCAATCCAACTATCCCTACGACTGCCAGCGATGAAGGCCTCACAAGCGATGAGCCTCCAACAGAGTAAGAACTGAAAAAGAGCACGCAGCCTCCGACAAAGATCTCAATCCCAATTCACTAATTTGTTGCCCTCTTTCGATTCTTACTCTGTTGGAGGTCAAAAGTGCTCAGGACAACACCAGAAGGTGCTCAGGCCGCACTAGTCTCATTAAAAAGGAATTCTCAAGACTCAAGGAACTCAATGCCGAGGTCATGAGAACATAAAAACTCATGAAGAACTAGTCTGGAGGTAGTCATACGGGCGATGGCCGCTGGCCATCGCTGATGGTCAACACAGAGACAAATGATACGGTTGTGACGAGTTTATCTTCAACGGAATCCTCATCATCGTGTGCAAGGTCGAAGGTGTCGAAGTCGTCAAAAATTGCTATCCTGATTGCTGGACCCTTGCGGCTTACTTGCTTCGGGTGCTTCTGTATTTATGACCGGATCCAATGAAGCTTCAATGGTAGTTATGGTTGGTTGGAGAACCACTTCGTCCATTTAGTGTCGATTTTAGTTGTGTGAAAAACTGTCGTTGATAGCTTAGCTGAAGTAGATGAATTTGAAAAGTGCTTGCTGAGTACCTTGCGTGTTACCAAATTACCCATCAAGGTGATATTTTGTGTTTCATAAGAGTTTTGTGTCACGGAGACCTTGTGTGGCTCAGATGAATGAGTGATCATTTGAGCGTCAAGAATTTATTTTATATCCATCTCCTCAATTGTAATATACCAATTATCCTATACGAAAACACTGCTCTCCGCTTTGTATTGACGTATATGAAATATTGAAGTTGTTCTTAAGACATAGGTTCTTCCTGAGCTTTCAAAATGATTTCATCCAAAGCTTCCCAGGCCTCTTCAACTTCTCTTAACCTTGGATCTTCAAGAAACAAAGGTATATCCCAATCATGCTTCCTGCCGATTGCAGTAAACATCTGAGCATCATCTGGTCCTAGATACTATCAGCACAGATCCGCATTCGTTTTCTAAAGATATTATACCAATAACATTGACAGCTTGCTTTGCCATATAGTAAGGAATTAATTCATCTTGATTTCCATGCACGATAATTGTCTTGCCAAACCCTTTCCATACCTCACTTTTCAATCCTTGATTAACGCTTCACAACACGAGTAGTTTGTTCACTTGAACTAACCATAAGAATAATGAAGAAAGGTCTTCAATTCACCCCCAGGCAAAGGTTCGTATCCAGGATCACGAGAAAAGTTCGGGAGAAGAGAGGATGAGTTGAATACTGGGAAGAAAGAAGGTGATGGGTTGATGCGTGAGGGGCTTGTGAGGAAATTCGCGAATCGAGATTCGAGATAGGGCGTTTCGTTGAAAAGAGTTTTGCCACTGGAGAAATAATGGAGGTGAGAGATGGGGTTTGGCAATGTATGATCGATAAGCAGCTAGGAAACTTTAGTCCAGAGTTTCAAGTCATGCCGATCGATAACCTAGAAGTACAAACCAGGGCTTGAACCCATGAGAATGATGTTTATTTTCTCATTTTCGAGTCTCTTAAAGTAAAGAAGCTCCAGGAGCCTTTTGTGTATAAAGTAGTATGCGGATATCACATCTTCCAACATGTCTTGAGCACTAGCTTGCGGCATGAGACGATAATCTGCGCTAATAATAGGTCAATCTCGAACTAGACAGGATTGAACGATATGAGGAGGAAGATTTTCTCGATCCAAACCTGTAAGTCCCCCACTATGGAGGTAAAGTACTGCGGTTGAGACTGAAGTGAGAGAAGACGAGTGAATGATGTCGACTTTTAGGTCGAGGTCATCGATACTTCTGAAGATATGATTAGATCTGGAGGATATGGTTTGATTTCTGCTACTTTGATGATTCAGGCTTGAAGTAGGATATCTGGAGTCAAAGATATGCTCTGTAGACTCAAGTGGGGTCTCTGTGTAAGTAGATCCTTGATGGTAGGTATCGGGGCACCTCGTTTTTTGTAATAATCGAAGAGCTGTGCATTTGATTACTTTTTCGAAGTTGATAATTAAACATCAAAATGTCTCAAGGGAACGCTGAAAATTCTTGATGAGAGTACGTGTCATGATGTTCAAACATTCCGAACTTGATATTTGCAATTGGTTTGCAGAATTTCTAGCTTACATCGCTGTATGTATACTTCTTCCAGTGAGTATTAGTCCAATCTTGTTCAGTTGACCAAGAAGAATAGACCGTTACCCAAGTCAATCTCGATGATCTCGATTATCAACGAAATTGATGTTGGTATCTCAATAGATAGTCGTCTCTATAGACAGAAGAAAACAGATAGGTCCAAGGTTACTTCTGGATGGAGTATGCTTGAATTGCCTCTTTTCTGCTTGTACCAAAGATATGAAAGCTATGAGAAAGAATGATTATCAGAGATTGGAATGATCAGAAGAGGAAGGAGGTATATCAAGTCGAGAAGTTGAATCAAATATCAGGTGATCTTGGATTTTGTTTGTTGATGGTCCGAGTGCTGATCTAGGTATCTTCTCACCTCCTCACCTCTTGAATTTGTCATTCACTGCTTCAAATTGTTTTATTACATAGCTCAATGAGCTTATTGTTTTGCTAAAGAGTTGATATTTATCTACGTACACAGGTCTGCAAATCTTTATTTCATGACTAAACGTAAATGAAAGTTCAGAAACAAAAGCCTTTCCAGCAGTTCAAACGATTGACCTCCATCTCAGTGTCTGGCGTACGCGTTCTCATTGTCATCTCATTCCTTTTTAATCATCAAATTCAATGCACAGTTGCAGGTCAAATATCAGATATGACTATGAGATACAAAACTTTAGCATTTCAAAAGTTCTCACTATATCAACACACAACCAACACAATTCTCAGATTACCTCCCATGAAAGCCAGCCCATGTTTGCTTCTCAGAGCTACCTCGTGGCTTATTGATCGAAGAAAGAACCCGGCCATTTCGCCGGATTGTATTTGTGGAGAGGCTCTAGAGACGGAGTTGGCACCAATAGCGGAAGCTAACGATAGTTCTTGGTTGTATTGGCTGCAGCTACCGCTGCCACTCACTTCTTCTTCTTCTTCTTTGTCTTTTTGTTGGCAGGCTCCGCAGAGGAAGAAGCAGGTCTTTTTCCTACCGTCTTTCCAGCTGGGGAATTCGGAGCCGGAACACCTGAAGCTGCGGAGCCTGGAGGTGGAAGATTTTCAAAAGCCACTTTCTTACCGGCGGGCTTGGTAGCAGGTTTGGCTGCAGGTTTGGCGGCAGGTTTTGCTACAGGTTTTGCGACAGGGTTAGCGGCAAGGTTGGTGGCTGGTTTAGCTGCAGGTTTGGGGGGTTTATCGTAACCCAAGTCCTTTCTCAAAGTACTTAAAAGTTGATTCCACCTGACTGGATCCAGTTCAATCCCCCAGGCTCCATCTATTGGCTCAAGGTTATCATCATCAATCCTGCCAACTCGACCTTCATAATCGATTATCCAAGTTGCAGGATCGTTGACGTCACCTTTACCTAACTCCACCACTATCTCTGTTGCAAAAAATGGGGGCATCTTAGGTGGACCAGCATCTTTTGCGATATCTACTAGGACGCGTCTCATAGGTAGTAAATGGCCAGACTCAGCCGGTTTAGGCACTTGACCTCCCGCGGGTTGGACCGCACTATTGTTCTTTTCATCGTGCTCGACAAGCTTGGCCAGCATCGAGACCTTCGTTCTCCCATAATCTTTGGTAACCATGCCGCGAGCTTTGCAGTGGTTTCTTAGGTCTTTTATTTTGAAATCATCTGCTTTCATAGTTGGTCTATACCTGTATTTGGGATCTGATTTATTGGAGGAATTTAATAATGTTTGTTTACCAGGCGTAATCGAAGTGTTTGGTTTCTTTTTGGTACCCGAGACTGCTATGGGAAGCCTGTCGGGGAGCTTCCATGCTTTTTCCAAGAATTGAAGGTTACGAGGTTTGACTCTTCCTTTTGTTCCGTCCATTTTTATCATCCGAGGGTATAGATTCTTGAGCGGTTCTTGTGTGTCAAGCAGAAATTCGCCATCCTCAAATTCGAAACCTCCAACAAATTTCTTTGCTGGATCATTTGGATTAGCGTATCTTGCATTGATCTTCGTGGTCGGCTCGATGGTACGGTGAACTACGAATTCTTGCCATAGACCCTTGTCATCTGATACAACGCCCACTCTTCTGATAATATTGGCAGCAGTTGCTCCAGCAGCATCGTGTGCTTCCCTGAGGGAGTCCTTCACAATTCTTTTTAAACATTTCAGTGGTGCAAAGCCGATCGGTCCGGGGGTTTCAGCATCACGCAAAAAATATGGACTTCTTTCCACCCACATGAAACCGGCGGGTGCGTCATTAACTGGAGGGTTCGTTGGCAATCTAACAAAGTTACCAGCGTATAATCTGAGCTCATTGATATCTTGATGCTCTTCAAGGTCGGGATTATATCCTTCAACGTCAGCTGTAACAATCCAGACTCCTTCATCCAAATAAGCATCTAGGTCGTGTTCAAACCACGAATTGCTTTCTTCAATCAATTCCTCATCTAGATTCCTGTGCAATGCTTTTAAAAGTCATAAGAGTTAGCGACTAATTGTCAAGAGATATCGACGAAGAAAACGGGATATTGAGAAATTCAGGGTATGTGGGAAAAAGAGAGAAGTCCATGTCCAAAGACGAAGAGAAGTCAACCTTCACATTAGAAAATGTCATTGGGTGTATAAAAAGCGCGGAAATTTGAACTGGTTACGAACTTGAAAATCCCATCCAGTGGCTCATGGTATCGTTCTTCTTTTTCCGATGCAGTGATTTAATTTCATTTTCATGATTGTCGTTATAGAGCCACAGTATTGGGCGAACCCCGTCTCCATAAGCCTGGGCCGCTGTTGGTGACTTGTACCCCGTATCCCATACCTTATTGATAGGATCCCACCGAACATTGAAGCCATGTAAAATGTGACCAATAACATAGTTTGTTCCGTAAGTCCTGTTCAAATGCAAGAGAACTGACTGGAGGACATTGATATCATAATTTTGGGTTGAGTTTGGTATTATCCCGGTGACCTGTCTCATGATTTGTCTCTCAGTAAGTGGATTCCCCTCATTATCCGCAAAAACGATAATGCCCTGAGCCCTGAGGAATTCCATAACGTCCTTATAGAATTGGGGGCCCGTCCTGTACAGTTGTAAGTCTTTGGCAGTTGGATTATCTGCCAGGGGGACAGGTGTGCCCTCAGGAGCCGCAAGGTCTCGAAGTGCACCGTAACTGTAAACCAGAGCATGAAGGCCACAGAGTTGACCTGCGCCAGATGTTGATACTGGATGGATCCCTGCACCCATTAATGGTAATAAATTTGCCCTTGCTACACCAGGAAACCGAAGGTCGACAGGGGCATTTCTGGCTGCGACTGCAGCTGCATCATCGACAATTGGTGGTGCACTTTCAAATGGTATTGCTGGTCCCTGACCTGGCTCATCTCCTTGAGAGTCTTGAGAGCCTTGTGAGCCTTGTGAGCCAGCTGGCGATACTGGCTCTGGTGGCAGCTTCCCTGATGCTATATCTGCCGCTGCTTTAGCTGCCGCTATTGCATCTGCCACTGCTTGATCTTCCCTTGCCATATCTTCTTCTAGTTGCTGCTGCTCTAGTAGATCTGCCGCTGATAGCCCTGGCGCTGCAGCGGGTGGGACTGCAGGCGATGGAGCTGCGGACCCTGGTACGTTCGGTGGCTTTTTTGGCCCCATTTTGTGTGTGGATTATCCTCCAATTTGTAGGTAAAATATATTTTCTCGCAGATAAGCAAGCTTCACTGACTCTATGTCAAGTTATCATAACCAAAAGCATACTTTTCATAAAATGTTAAGATTCAAGATTTTGTATTCATTCCAGCTCTTTGTTGGGCTCCCGGACACCCCTTTATTTCGCGAGCGCTTCGTTTGTTAGTCCAGTCTATAAAGAAAAATTATAGTATTCATTCCGCATTTGGAGGTGCCGATTCTTTCAAACGACATTGGAAATGAAAGGGATATTAGTTAAGCATGTCAAAATTTAATTGTGATTGTGATGTTAGACGCTTTTGGCTTTGGGGGATTTCTTTGAAATTTTGACATTGACGGGAAGTTTATACTTCTTGTACAGTATTAAATCACAAAGTGATTTAGAAGATAGACTCATCGATTTATTGGCTGATATCACTTGCGTATTGGAAATAGATTGATCTCTCAGCCCGCCTGTCCCTGTGACAAAGCATGAATGATTGACCAAAATTATACAAAACTTTTTTTTGTAATTCTCAACAATGCACACGTTGCTCAAGGTATTATTGGCAAATCTAAAATACTAAAATTATTGAGAATTGAGTTTCGTTACTTGTTGCACTTGAATTCTCATACCTAAACGAGGTTCTTTGACATAAGATACCTCGTATGAGGTGATTATTTTCGTCCCTGATAAATTATGTCATGTACACATCATCTCAGAAAGTTTCCAAAATTACATTCGCCAGATTGAGTAACATATTGTTGATGTGGCTCGATTTATATTTATGGCGGTCTAATTTGATGCAAACTGTACAATTGAGCTCTCTTCATCATCTCTTCAATAGTTGCTAACATGCTACCTGTCCACATATCACAGCATGAGCAGCCGTCCACTAACTCGGATTTAGTTTACAAATCCTTCCACTTGTTTTAAGATTCATTGGAAAAATAGAAAGACTGGTAGGGAGCGGGAATTACTCCGTTTAAAGGCCCCGTGCGATCTGAGCTATGGATGTTCAATCCCGTCGCAAGGCAACGGCGCAATGTAATCACTCCGCCCCCGTTCCACTTTAAATGTACTATGCACCAAAATACTTAAAATAGCTACATCCTGTAGCACAGTATGCGTTTTCGTGATATCGGCTGTTCTTTTTCTCTTTCCGCTAATATGAATACTCAAGAGTCGCCAAATCGAGACATCTCACATCTCGAGTCGATTGAGAAAGGGGGTGTCCCTGAAACAATTTCTACTGATTCTATTGGTGTCAGAAATGGCGGAGAAGATTTGGATACAATCGAGCAGCAATATGTCACGGGCTCGAAACTCCATTTGATTGTATTTTCTTTGACTCTAGCTTGTTTCATCATGACATTGAGTTCATCGGTCCTGGCAACGGTTTGTGAATAAGTCTTTATATTCCATGATTTTTCTTTACTGAACTTCATGTTAGGCTGTACCAAGAATCACAAGTGAATTTCACTCTGTGGAAGACATCGGTAAGCTGCCGTGCTTACGTCCTTCATTCTCTTGACTAAACATTCACAGGATGGTATGGAAGTGCTTATTTGCTTTCAAAGTGAGTTTGCATCTTCATGAAAGAGAGCCACAGTACTGATTCTTGCGCCTAGCTGCGCTATGCAACCACTAAGTGGCAAATTTTATACCTATTTTCGCTCAAAGTAAGACTTGCAACCCCTCACAACATTCAAAACCTACTGATAGTCTAGTACACATTCCTTTGTTTCCTTGCAAATATTTGAATTGGGTGCGTTAATCTGCGGTGTATCAAGAGACTCAGATATGTTGATTGTAGGAAGAGCAATTCAAGGATGTGGTGGATCCGGTGTTCTTAATGGCGCTCTCACGATTCTTGCTGCTGCTGCTCCTATCTCAAAACGACCAAGTATGTATTCTCCCACCCTTCTTAATGTGTACAATTAGTTCTGACTCACATATGAGTTCTTATTGGTATAATAATGTCTACTGCATCTATTGGACAGGTGATTGGACCTCTTATTGGTGGTGCATTGACTCAACATGCTTCTTGGATAGTGAGTAGATTTAGTGCTCTTCTGGTTGTTCCTTACTAACAAATATCTAGTGGTGTACGCATGCATATCCTTAATCATTCAAGAATCGAGATAACCCTAACACGTCTAGGCTTCTTTCTCAATCTACCCACAAGTTTTCTAACCGCTCTCGTCATCTTTTTAATTCATATCCCCAACATTCATAACCCTGTTCGCACTTCATGGTCTTCAAAAAAGAAATTCCTAAACCTCGATCCATGTGGTTTTGTTCTTTTCACTCCTACCATCATATCATTTCTTCTAGCTCTCGAATGGGGCGGCTCTTCATATTCCTGGTCATCAGCTACTATTATCGGTCTGTTTTGCACCTCTTTTGTTCTCTTTCTGTTATTCCTCTACTGGGAATACAGCTTGGGAGAAAACGCAATGATCACACTTGATATGTTGAGAAAGAGAATAGTGTATAGTGGATGTTTGACGGGAATGCTTAATCAAGGAGGTTTAGTAGTAATCTCATACTATCTACCGGTTTGGTTCCAGACTATCAAAGGAGTTTCGCCTACAGAAAGCGGGGTGAGAACGCTACCGACTTTCTTGGCCACTATTGGGTGTTCGATTATCGCAGGGAGTTTGGGTATGTTCTTTCTCCGTTGCATCGATTGAATTAATCCAAGAGATATGACTTACACGCGAAAGTTTCTCGACTTGGATATTTCACCCCCTGGGCAATTATGGGCTGTGTGTGTTCGGCTATCGGATCTGGTTGTATGAGTTTGTTTAACGCCAATACTGGGGCGGGGCGAATGGATTGGCTTTCAGATCTTGGTTGGTGCTGGACGAGGAATGCTTTCTCAAATGGTATGTGCAGACTTCTGTTACTGATATCTCTTATATATACCCTAGATCCCGTTCTTTCTTCCTAAATTATCTCTAAGCAGTCACTAAAATTCCGTTAGCCCATAACAGCGATTCAAAACTCTCTCCCCGCCACAGATATTGCGATCGGCTCATCTCTCGCTACCTTTTCCGGATACTTCGGCAGCGCAATTTTTCTATCCTTCGCCTGAACAATCTTTACAAATTCTTTGACGAAGGAACTAGCTAAGTATGTACCGTACCAAATATCGATGCAGAAGCCATAATAGCAAGTGGCGCTACAGGATTGAGGGATTTGGTGACGGGCGCGGAGTTGGAGAGGGTACTAATGGCATACAATGAAAGCTTGATCAGATGTTTTGTGAGTCGCTTCTTATTTTGGCCCGTCAGCTTTTGTCTTTTAGGCGGATGTGAGAGGAGTTTTTCGATATGAGTGATGGATGTGAATGAGTAGCTAATGAATCATATATTAGTATCTTGCAGCTGGAGGATCAGGTGCAGCGTTTCTGTGTAGTTTCTGATTAGGATGGGGAACAGTGAAGAAGAAGAATAAGCAGGAAGGAGATCAGGAAAGGGGAGAGAATCTAGCTAAAAGCAACAATCCGGAGTCCACGGTGAAGGAGGGAAAAGCTTGAAAGTTCGGGAATCTCAGGACCTTGAATTCTTCCATGGAATTTTAAAGGCAGACAGTTTGTATGAACAGCATTTCAATTTCATGAATAGGATCTACTCAACAAACTTAGAATCACATCTAATTCAATTGGGAATAGACAAAATTCGGTTCTCATCAGGTAATTCTGTTAGCTTTCTGAGAGTTTCCACCTGAATATATATGAGGGGCACAGGTGTCAGTGATCCTAATTACATAACCAATATACATATCCATCCCTCATCCCTCACCCCTCACCCCTCTACCCACCCCATTATCTTCCATTAGTAAAGCAGTCGGTCCACCCACTCATTCCACTCTCATCTTTTCTTGAAAACTAATTCACACCTTGGAATTCCGCTAGTAAAATGATCCTTGACATTGCCAAAGAACTCCTCCTCGTCAAACTTTACATTCTTCGGGAACATTACCTCGTACTCAGCGACCGATCTCCCAATCACAGAACGCAGTTCCATCATTGCGAGACCTTTTCCGATGCAATTGTATACACCTATAGAGAATGGTAAGTATGCTGACTTATTGATAATGAGATCCGAGCGAATCGTCCAACGCTCCGGAATGAATTTGTTTGGATACTTGAAGTTACGAGGATCTCGAATTAAGAGTTAGAAATTCAGCGTTTAAAGAGCAGAGAGTAATGGCGGATTATTGAAAAAAAACTACTTACCACGGTGAAGTTGCCAGGTTGCAATACTAACAATTGTGTCGCCAGGTATATATACCGTTCCAATAGTCAGTCCTCCCTTGGGAGTGACTCTCTGAGAGTTGAATGTAACAGGAGCGTACAATCTCAGTACTTCTTGAATGATACCATCAAGTAATGGAGTCGATGTTCCATTGCTATATGTACCATCTTCAAACAGTGGTCTCAGCTCTTCAAAGAGTCGAGCTTGATATTCAGGATAATGGGCAAGATGAATGAAGATTGCCGTAAGGGCTGATGCAGTAGTATCACTCCCTGCTCCAATGATTACGCGAGAATCGCCGTTGAGAAGAGCGCGTCCAGCAGGAGTATTTTCCGTATGCTGTATGAGATGACCTACTATATCTGGCTTAGGGTTCTTCATCTGTTGAGTTATTAGCCCATCTATATTTGATAGGGAGGATCTGGAGTTCAAACATCTCTTCGTGCCTCTACCTGAGAAGCCGACCAATCATTAAACTCCTTCATTGGCCCCCCAAGAAAGCTTAGCACGTCAATAACTGTGAACATCCATGGAATATGAACTACCGCTCCAAGAGCAGAAATACCAGATTGAATATTATCGAGAACTTTCTTGGCTGCAGCTGTTTCCTTCCCATTCAAGAATTCAGTGTGGATACCAAATGCCAATGCACTCATCACATCGTAACTGTATTGAACACATAACTCATTAATTACTAATGGATCTTCCCCCTCTTTCGACAGACGAGCAAGAAACGATGTGGTGAACTCTGCGATGCGGGGTCCATAATCAGCGAGAGCTGGAGTTTAATCGTCAGTCACATGACATCCGAAGAATAAAAGTGGAGAATCCAAATACATTGTTTGAAGGCCAAGTCCCAGATCTTTCTTCTTTTTCTGTGGAAGTCCGAGTCTCTCGTCGTATGCAAAGATTCTGGGGATGTCGAGCCATAGAACGGTCCTTTATGCAACTTAGATGAAGCGCCAAGAATCACACTAATGGCTGCAGGATCGAAAATTATGAGTTCGCGAGGTCCTTGACATTAATTAGCTTGGGATGAATCAGAAAAGTTACTTCTTTTGAATGTCATTACCTGTCCTGACATAATCCCCATACTCCTCCTTCAATTGTCCAGCAACTTGGTACCACCTGACTTTCGATTCGATGACTTTTCCCAGACTCCAAAATTTGGAGAGTCTAGCACCAAAAGGACCGGGGAAATTTCGTAGCGGATGGAAAAAGGCTCGATAAACAAGGATATTTGTCCACAGCGAAAGGATGGTCGTCACGACAAGGCTAGAGGCAAGTCTTTGAGCTTGCCAGAATGTTAGGATGTCGACATGGCTATCATATTGAAGTAGTATCGAGAGAACAATGTGGGATGCTATGACCGCAAAAAGAATGGAGAACGGATAACGATCGAATTCCCTGTTCCTTACGATATTGTGGAAGAATGCACCTGCTGCAATGGCTGTGATGTACAAGGTCGACATTGTTGCTATTGGTGACGGTTTTATCCAACGAACAACCTCGTTGGTAGTTTGCAACGAAGAAAAGCAAAAAAGAGGGAAAAATCAATCATGCAGCGATAACTTGGACCTCGAAATATGTCGTCCGAAAAGGGAAGGTGGAGAACGTATGCACGTAAGCATGCACGTTGACAGTAGGCTCTCTTCCGTATGGAAGAGCGTTGTGAGTCGTGACCTTTTCTTTTCTTTATATGACGACGAGCGTGTGGGGTCTGACTACTTTTGATCATGATCTATCTGGCCGTTGCATACTCGTAGTCTAGAATTTATTTTCTTTTTCTTCTTGCAATTCAGCTCGTTTTCATTCAAGTAGTATCAATGACTATTGATATTGGTAAAATTCGTGAATTCATTTCCCGATAACTTAGGTTATGTAGGAGAGAAATATGAGCTCCACATCGGGCCAATCATACATACACTTTCAGCTACAACCCATGTCGTTATTCGCCTGCCGAGTCCCGGGTCTCACAAACTCTCAAATTCTTTTTTGGAAAAAGCAGTATACTCTGCATCCGACCATTAGACTGTCATCTATTGGAAAAGGTTGGTCGAATTCGGGATGCCGACAATGATGATCAAGAATCGAAGTCGTTTCTTGTTCAGACATATAGTCAAGAATGTGTCCTCCTTTGAATCTACTTTTCATCGAGTATGAACATTCTTTCAAGCAAGATTCAAAGCACGAAGAGTAAATATGTCAACCGGACTCCTTCCAGCGCCCCCTGGTGTAACACCAGAATTAAATCCATCTGCTCTGTCAAGTACCCAGGTGGCTTTCATTATTGCATACACCATTACACTTGGTCTGGCTAGTAGTACTCTTGGTATCCGATTGTACACAAGGATTAGTATCATGAAATCTTTTGGTTTGGATGATGGTAAGTTTTTTGTCTACGGCGGTCGACGAGGATGCTGATCTGGGATATAGTTGCGATTATTCTTTCATATGCATGTTCAATAGCATATTTTGCTATTACTGTCGATTGTAGGTGATGGATCAATTCGCGGAGAATACAATAACCATGCTGATTGATGGATAGGCATGAGATTTGGATTCGGTAGACATCTATGGGAAGTCACCGCTGAACAAATGGCCCTCTATCTTACGGTTAGTCAATGCCTCTCAATTCATACCCCATCTTTTACTCACCGACCTAGAAACTCAGCCCTATAGTATCTACCTACGCTTGGGCCCCCGCATTCACCAAATTGTCCATTCTCATCCTGTAAGTTCCTTCCATTGGTAATGTCAAAAAAGTCCTTGAACTAAGTACTCCCAAGCCTTTATCGACTCAATCCAAGCATCTATTTCCGTACAGGTTGTTGCGTCGTCGCCGGGATAATCATAATCTACACTCTCGCCATATCTCTAATAATAGCTATTCCATGCGTTCCCACCAATCCCGCGAATGGTGCATGTCTCAACCAATGTGGGCTCTGGCAAGCAATCTTCAACATTCTTACAGATGCAGCCATTCTTATACTCCCATCACATATGCTATATCTCTTGAAGCTGCCGTTGAGGCAAAAATTGGCGGTTGCATCGATTTTTTCGACGGGTATTTTGTGTGTTCAGCCCCTCTCCTTACTCCTCAAACACTATTTGAGAAAGCCCTCTCACTTGTATCTGGAAGACTTTGCTAACATAATTATTGACAGTGTAATAATCATCTGTATAGTCCGCATAACATACATCATGGCTCTTCAAAATAATCCAGATGTACTGTACACTCAAGGCAGAGCAGCAGTATGGTCGTTCGTCTCCCTCTTTCTTTTGCTGTTCTTCCTTGATCTTCATGCATCTAATCTCCGACTTCCTGCACTCAAAATCTCAAAGACTAACCCAGACTGCACCACCAGATCCGTGGAAATAAACATCGGCATTTTCTGCAACACCCTTGTCGTTCTCCGTCCTTTCATCCGTCAGTACTTTCCAGGTCTCTTCTCATCTCACCTCATATCCGACGATCCTCGTCAAACACCCGATCCGGAAGCAAATATCGAATCTAAAAAGCGAAGAATTGGGAAATTGAGGAAGAAGAATTCGTTAACTCTTACAACGATGGATCATCAGATGGACACAATCGATAAGCAATCAGGAATAACGAGGGAGTATGAGGTAAGTGTTGAGAGAAGTGGTGGTGAGGGAACTAGTGATGAGAGTTCAGGAAAAGAGAAGGAGAGGGAAGATGAAACGGAGAGTATGGAGCAAATGATTATGCAGGTGAATGTAGATGGAAATGATAGATTGTGATGGGGAGATGAATGGGAAATTGATCCAATCGGTCACTGGTAGATATGAAAAGAAGGAGAGAGAGTTCATGACCGCTCACAGACAGGGATGAAAGAGTCCCAAAATTGCCTCTGTAAAAACAGCAGATGGTCTTACACATTCGCTCAATACATGAGCTTCAACAAGATACAAAACAAGGAACACCAATAATTTCCTCAAAAAACCAATGAGGATGATGGGCTCTTGGGGGTTTTCAGAAAAACAGCATGAAAAGATACATTTGGATTGAACGGGTTGAAAATAGACAAAGGACGAAATATTAGGCGTTTGGTTGGGTAATAGTGCGAGTTGTATATTCTATGTTAAACGTTTCGCATGAGTACTTTGTTGTTTGAAAATGAATGGGTATGCAATAATTTTGGGTATATTTGAAAGAATGAATGTATTTCTATGGCAAAGAAAAAGAGGGTTGATTTTGCATTTTGGGTGGTATCATGGGCTTCGTGAGACTGGTGTGAAGAATTAGATTCGTTGCTGAAAGATTTTGGGATATTGTAATGTGAAGTGGAGTGACTGTTACTCTTTCTGCGAGTACCTAGGTGTTGGGTAGTGATAACTTTTGTTCATAAATTTTCTCATATGCCACTTGGCGAACTTCTTTCAAGTCTGATTTGATTAGGTATGTTTTTATCGATTCTCGAAGTGTCAAGGATAGACAATTAACAGTAAGACGAGAGTATTATAATCATACTATATGTATTCTCAATATACCCACAGATCTATCTGCGCCACTCGACACTCTAACAGAACTCCGAAACTATACAAGTAAATCCTTCTTTCCAATCCTTCACTTCCTTGTTGCCTCGAGAATCCTACCACTAGATGATTGAGGAAACACCAGGTTGGATTTTCTCCAGCTCCCTAACTAGTTGTTCCCATACCTTCTTCTGCAACTTCATACCCTCGGGTCCTCTTACAAGTGGACCGGTCCTATACTCGACTTTAGCAATGTTTAATTTCAGAACAATCTATCATCCACTTCCACACTCCCTCATCACTGTCCAAAAATATAGCAAAAAAAGAGATGCATACTCAGCAATCAAACAATCAGCCATATATTTCCCATGACTTTCTTCCCCCGCCGCAATCCCCGCCACCAAAGCTCGACTTCCTACTTCCGTGCTACGTGCAAGCAGAGTACTCAAGAGCCAATTTTTGACTCTATCAAATCCCGTATTTTCGCGAAAGAAATCGGATTTGCACGCTCCGGGCGTCATGCAATTGACAATGACAGATGGAGATACGGAATCCGGGTCACGAGTAAGTTTCTGAGCCAGCTCACGGACTCCGAGCACTTGGAGAAGTTTCGTGGTGGAGTATCTGGTTATTGTTAGTATATGGGTTTCAGAATGGGGATCTTTGAGTGAGGGTAAACTGGAAAGATGGCTCACCTTTCCAAATCTAGTTCTGATGTTTTTTCGTTGTTCAACGCCTTGAAAATATCCTTCTCTTTCCTTTCTTTGAACTTGGTAATACAATGCAAATCCGAAGCCACAATTGATATTCTAGGCTGGATATTGAATTCCTTCGCTGACTCTTTCAATTTTGGTAATATCCCCAAAACTAATTGAAAAGTGCCAATTACATTCGTCATAACCGTACTTTCATATCCTTCCACCAGCTTGAAATATTTCGTCATGATCCCCGCATTAGCAAGTACGGCATCAATTCTGGGGAGTTTGCTGACTTTTGCGCAGAAAGCTTGAATAGATGATGGAGATTGCATATCCAGAGACCAAACTTCGATGCTGGACTCTGAACGACCGGTGCTGGCTAGGATGGATGCTTTTGCGGCTTGACCTTTGGATTGAGAACGCACGGCGAGGATTAGAAGATGGGCATTGAGACGGGAAACGTGACGAGCGGCTTCGAGACCGAGTCCGGTGTTGGATCCGGTTATAATTATGGTTTCATCAGTGAAGTCGCGGGTTGGGATAGGGAGAGTGACGAATAATTGAGAATAGAGAAAGGAGGTGAACCAGCCCATGATGTTGATTGAAGTAAAAATGTAAGAAAATCAACCAATGTGTTTGAGCACGAAAGTCACTGCTCGACTCTGATAATAAGTATAGAAGTCTATAAAGGTAGATGAGGGATAATACAACGAAAACTGAGAGAGGTACGTCGTTAGGTATACATATATATATGTACCAATAACAGGCAGGAACACAGTGGAATCATTTGCGTCATTATATTTCTTTTCGTACAACTAGTACTCTTACAAACACAAATTAACAATCAAAAGCGGACGAAAATACGGACGATATGTCTGAGAAGTACAATGAGTCTTCAGCTCGGACGCTTATGTAAGAGTTTGAACCAATTAAACAATGCTTCGGACGAAGTTCAATTTTGTGCTTGTGATCTAGTCCCGACAAGGCTAGTATGCACTCATACCCCTCCTGATCAATCGCCCAACATTGGACGGTAGAAGTATCGTTGTTGTTTATAATCAAAACGATCTCTTTCATCCATCATGGGCGAAAAATCATCCGGAATCCATCTTTCAAAGGAATCCACGTGAAAATGCCACCTCAATCTCATCCCACTCTTCAAAAGGGCATGCGAAAAGGAACACGCAGTTGTTACGAATGTCGGAAACGAAAAGTTCGATGTATTTTCACGAAAGAATCTGAGATATGTGGAAATTGTGAATTGCAAGGTCGAAGATGTACTGAGCAGAGAAGAGAATTGATTCAAGCAGGAAATGTTGATACGAGAGAGAGTCTAAGAGAGAAGATTAAGAGACTTGAAGCGGTGATTGAATATTATGGTAGGAAGAGTAGTAGTACTGCTCCTGATGAGGCGAATAGGAGTTTGAATATTGACTTGGGAGATGTACGGGTGGATAACCTCAGTTCGGAGTCTACTCCGTTAGAACTGGGAGCGAAACGTACACCAGCATCTACCCCATCGTCACTTGAGACTCCAGCTTCAGTTGATGAAACTTCCTCTCAAGATATCGATCCCATCGTAACACTTTTCCATAACGCTATCGTGAGCTTTACTTATTTTCACTGTTCTCAACCCTTCAGCTACTAAGATACCGGGTAGTGGAGAAGCCATAGCTCTGATTTAATTCCTGAACGCATTTCTAAGGTTGACAAAGCTGAAAGTCCAGCGACTGCGAAGAAACATATTCGGACTCGCGAATCATTACATTCTGGTCTTATTCCCCTAGCACTCCGTGAAATAGTGGTCAACGCAACATGTTCCTGGTGGTATACATGGTAAAAGCATTTTTGACTCCCAACTATTACCTAGTCCTCGTTACTAATAAAATCCCAATAGGCGACCACTTGGTTCCATGCTCCAATCATCAACCGGTGACGTGAATTCAACACTTCCAGATTTTATACTCTGGGCTCTTGAATCACCTGATCCTTCGATAATTGGTATAGCAATACTTTGCATTGCAGTTTGTCTTCAACAATTAGATACTAGAATCCATCAGTATATTATTCGTCAACTTCCTTCCTTACCCGGTACACTATTTCAGGAACACTTTGAAAAGGTAGAGAGACTTATTGTAAATGATGGGGATTATGCTAGTACAAAAGAGGGTATTGAGACGGTTGTTTTTGCGGCCAAGATCTACAGTGTGTGATTTCGATTTCTCTTTTTTGTGATTGAGAAGCATGATCTTCTAGATTCCTATTTCTGGCAATCATCCGTATTTTGACACCGAAGGAAATTTCAGACCAGATCCCTGATTCGATAAGTTTTGAATTCAGGAGAATTGAGCTCTGGGCCGGAAATTGACTCATTGAGAGTTCATTGACTCTAGGTTTTGGTTTCAAATTCCCCTCAGAGAATGAATCTGCGATAAAAGTTTTTCGAGCGCTGCGAGCTGAGGGGGTCCGGGAGCTTGACCCCATAAATGACACTCCGCTGGCCCTCCGGGGACCACTGCCGTGGAGGCAGACTAGGAGATAGAGAGTAAATGAAAATCTCAAATGTGGCAGATGAAATCTTAGTTCGAGTTTCTTCTATACGAGACTGTAGGAATGGACTTCCAAAACCCATATTATCTTCTAAGCATTTCTCGAACTCCAAAATTCTCATAATTTCCTCTCAACTTATATACCGTTCAAATCCGATAATACTGACTTCCTCAGTGAATCTCGGTCTTAACAGAAAATGCTGGATTTTAACCCACCAAGCAATATCCTATAGCCAACTTCTCAATCTTCACCGTCCACATCTTTCCACCGACAAAAGTCCCATCGAAAAAAATCAAAGAATACAATCTTGGCTTTCATTATGCGCAGGAGATGTATATCTCTCACTTCTTCTTGGACTTCCTTACGCTGCAGATGGTCGCACTATTCCTACAACTCACAATCAAGAAAACACTACCGCCCAATTCCACCACAACCTGATAATTCTTTCCTCAAAGGTCATCGATCGAAACCAACGCGGCCTCCACCTCTCCACCTCTCCATCCCACACACCCAAAACATCCAAACCTCCCTCCACACCATAGCCCAAACCCTCCCCCCCTCATTTTGGGATCCCCAAACCACCCTCTCCCAAAACAAAATCTCCCGCCCAGAATACCTCGAACAAATCGCCGCTCAATGTTGGTACTACCACCTCCTCGTCCTCCTCCACATGCCCCTCATGCTACAATCCATCCTCGATCCCACCCTCGAAACCCACCGCACACAATGTCTCAGCGCCGCACGCAATCTCCTCCGAATCTGGCACATCATGCGCTCGGACATCCACAGCGCATTCGAAATGGTAAAACTCATCGACTACCAAGCATTCGTCTGTTCCACCCTCTTAATCCTCAGCATGCTCGGCTACGGAAGCTGCGAGAATGGAGAAACAGATGAAAATAGAAATGAAAATGAACATCACGATCGAGAGTTGCTCGCGCGTACGATTGCAATGCTCGCGCAAGCGGGAGATTCACTCGGGAATTTGGTCGCGAAACAAGCGGTGCAGGGATTGGAAAGTTTGCTGCAGATGGGGAGGGGAAATTGTCCGAGGAAACAGGGGCGGAAGATGGGGGAGGGTGAGGATTTATCTCTGGGAAATCCGTACGCGAAAATCGTGGTGCCGTATGTAGGTGTGATTACGATTTCGCCGGGGGAGTATTATGAGAATATTGAAGCTGCGGTCGATGTTGTTACGGGAATGCAAACGGAAATGCATACTCAAAATCAAACTCAAACTCAAAACCAAAGTGCCCCATTTTCATTTTCGCTAGAAAATAATCCCAATCCCAGTCACAATCACGATCAATATCATGAGGCATTGCGAAACGGAGATGCATCGAATCATCATAATACAAACACACGATATGAAGAGCCCGGTACGTCTGGAGAAGCGAGAGAAGTACCGGAAGATACACAGGGACAGAGACAGATACAGATGGAATGGACATCGATTGATTTTGATTGGGCGAGTAATCTGACGGCGGGGTTTGAAGACGATTGGGCGTGGTTGAATGGGTTGGGAGGTTGATTTTGGGGTTTTGTTGTTGTGATTGTTGTTGTTGTGGGGGATGAGTGGTTGGTTGGTTATGAAAGGAAAGGGAGGGGAGAGGAGAGGAGAGGAGTGGCGAGGTTTTTTTTAGAGGGGGGGGGGGGTAATCTGGGTAGTTGGTAGAATTTAGATTTAGAGAGTTAGTTGGTTAAATGGGTAGTGGCAAAGTGCAATGTGGTATATCGATTGTATCGTTTAGATGAAGTTTATTTATCGAAATAGATTACATGTAAACACGATCACGGTACCTAATGTAGATACTTATTAGAAAGTGTACCGACCGATGAACCGGTATTCAATTTAGGTTATCGAATAGAAAAATAATATATTTTGCTTTTATATCGTAGGTAATGGAGCTCTTCTTCATTACATGTTTCTATTATTAGCATGGGCGTTTTCAATCTCACGACACGCACACTGCAGTTTGTGGCAGTTTCACCGCTCTGATATTGAAGCGAGAAATTAAGGAAGGGAACAACCACCTCCCTCGTGAATTTTCAATATTACCAGTTGTACATTTCTGATGTGACTTCGCTTGTCAATGAAAAGAGCGGAACATCATCCTCTGTCGGCCAGTCATCGGATAATAGGGCATCATTTGCCGAAAAGAAGTTGAGAGGTAAAGAAGTAACTTGTGAATTATCGTGGAGATGATAGTTGTGACCGCCAGAGAATTGTCCAGTTGATATTTCTGACATGGTATTCATCGACTCCTCCTGGAAAGTGTTTTCATTGAAAGAAGACGGCGAAATTGGTTCGACAATTCCCTGTTGGCGGAGCATATTCGAACGGACGTCTACATTCGAAGCCTGTTCCGGGGATCGACCTCCTGAAGAATGTCGTATGTCACCAAAGACACTTCGAACTTGCTGGCTACTGGACCGCAAAAATTTGCTGTCCCTATTATGAACATAAATTGTCGTGGCGTCTTGCAGGAGCTGGCAGATCTCCGAGTACCGAGCAGATTGGGGATTCAGTCGTCCAAAATGGTTTAAGATTGCAATTCCTCGTCTGAGCCCTATGCTTAACGGCCAGCCTCTTCGATCAAAATCATCCAGGTAGGCAAGTCCAAGACATAGCACCGAAATAAAGACACTGCTGATTATGAAGGGCTGACGTTGAGGCATGTCTTGTCCGTAAACAGTCTCATGAGCCACATCTATACCTTTGATCGCCGAGTCAACACATGCATCTGCGTAAGTATTGAAGTCCGTATTAGAGGAAGATGGCGCCTCGCTATGGCTGAAGTTTCCAGCATTGTGGCAGACCTTGAAAGTGAGAAATGGTCGAGAGAGTAGGATGATCGAATAATAGTATGCGATTTTCACATGTCCACGACCAAGTCGGTGAGAAAACCCAAAGCTTTGGTTTGCAACCGGTTCATCCAAACCGTCAATCTTAAGCATACGAGGTAACGCTTCTGTCCATTCGCGATGTTGTCTTGAGATGCTTCTTGCCAGATCGAGCGAGACAGCTCTTCTAGAGTACACTTCTATTAAAATGCGTTCAAAGACGTTGCATATTCTGAGAATGGCGGAAGTGACCTGCGAAGGCACATGCTGGCTCTCTCTGCTGGCGAGTTGATCTACCGAAGTCCAGGGAATATTGCAATCGGTGTCTGAGGTGGCAGGTGGCCTTCCCATCGATGCACTGAGAAAAAGATCACAAACTCGTAGAGTCTTCCAGGTCCGCTCTCGGGATATGCCCTCCTGCGGAACAAACGCAACGTTTGTCTCATGGCGGTGAATTCCAAGAGCATAAGCAGCTCTGACTGCCACTCCTAAATTAGTGAAAGCCCCATTGCTTCGGCATGCCGCAAGCATGTAGTAGGTGATCAAGATGAACGACTGGACCGTCAACAAACTTGGGTCGTCCAAAAGTGTAAACGTTGCAATTTGACGACCGTAACCAAAACACTTCTCGGCAATGATCTCGTCTGATTCATCTCGAGCTCTTCCTTGTGCCCCGATCGCGAGTGCAAGATAAATGATGGGCGACTCCAGCTTTTCTCTTCGTGAAGAATCTTCGATCCAGGTCGGCAGCTTATCTAACAACCATGAGGGGTCAAAAAGGTCCATGATACCACTTACGACTTGAAAGAACTGGTCTGCAAGAGAAAGAGCTTCAGCAAGATCGAGTAGAGGTTCGTGGACATTATCAAAACGAACCGCTGGCGTGGTTTCGATCATCAGGTGACGCAGGGGATCTGAAGTGAATTCACAAGGGCCCACTGCAACCATCACAGCTCTCCTTACAGTCTGAAGAAAGGACAACGAGGCTGATTCGCCGACATAGACTAAACATGGTCAGCAAACGTTGACCACTTTAGCTCCTGATTTAGAGTTGAACCAAGACATACTAAATCTACCCTTACTGTTACGCAGCATTCTGGAGACTTTGGGCTCGGGCGCCGCATTCAAAACCGTATTGTCGCCTTCATTGAGAGTTTCAGACGGTGCGAGATCATCAAGCTCACACAGTGCATGATGATCTTCCCTTGCGCTGTGGTTGCTGCTGCCTCTGTCCTCGCACAGAAGAGGCTTTGCATCGTCTGGTGCCTGGGTTTTTGTATACTGACAGGCCTCTTCTCGATGTCGGGATTTACACTGACCGCAGGGAGTACCGCCACTACACTTCCCCTTGCGTCTCTTGCAGCTGTCACATGCTTGTGCTACTCGTCTTCGACGTAGTGGATCAACCTTGTTGCGCGGCATCTTGGAACAATAAGCGCCAGGCACTTTTGAGATTCATTTCTGGTGTATGAAAGTGTTTGTGTTAGGTGGTGATTTGGCTAGATTGCATCGAGAATTGCGGGGGGAGCGGGGTAGATGCTGCGCCGCTATAGGTAGGATAGACAAGCTCACTGTCTCAACCAAAGTGGCCGTGATTGGACATGGTAAAACGAGGGTAAACATACGTGTGTGAGTTTTGAAATAGCTCTAGGAAGTCGCATCTGTCAACTTTACAAAGCTGATAAGCCATTGGCCGTAACGACCGTAGCATAATTACCTCGTGCATGGCCGAATTAACAGCCATTTAACGTCCACCAGGTCTGTGCTTCTATACACCGGCACTTGATCGGCATTAGTAAAATTGCATAGTGCGCTGTGATATACCAGAAATGATTTGCTAGAAAGCTCTTGTTTCCATGGAAATTTCGAGATATGTGCGGACATGAAATGGCTGTTACTTCGACCGTGGATAACTGCGTGTCCCGGATTGGGTTGGAGTGGATTTTGCGGAGTATCCGCAAGCACCTAGTCTAGCTTTCGCCGACCCTCCGATGCTAGGTTAAATATACCCTCAAGTACTCGCTTTTAGCCCTGTTTTTAACACTAAACACATATAAATCACTAGACTACATCATATTTACATAGCCTAATTGATACCCTGTATTAATCGTGCTATTTGTTAAATTTATCTCAGTTTTTTTTTTCAGAATTATCATAAATCATAAATTAATAAAGTTATCGTTATATTCACGTAGCTATATTAATAAAGAAATTTAAACACTCGATTTATTAGATTTCAATGAAATTTAATTAATAGTATTAATATCTCAATATTACAGATTCCCCTGTCTTTATTACAATAACATAGCTAAGAAAACGCAGTTGAGGCGTTGTACGCCGAAAGTGCAAACCCGATAACATCACTCCTCGCGCTGGAAGGGGTGAAGTCTCTTGCAGGATCAAATCCCATCATTGTGAATACACCTTCAGACCTTTATGCTCGTACAGCTGTTCAATACAGAGCATTCTTAAGTGACTTCTGTTTTGGATAGGTTGGAATAGCACTTCATCATAAGCTCTGTCACACATTAGACAGAAGCTTCAATTTACCACATTCCGAAACGCATACCATCGTCCTTCCTCAAATTCTAGAATACAACGCGCCTTCGATACCGAAGATTATGGAGTGACTTGCAGAAGTCCTGCCTGAGAGCAACGGGGATGCTATTCATGGTCTTAATGTGTTACTGCGAAAGCTTGATGTTAAACGTGGGCTTGCAGACTTTGGGTTCAAGGAGGATGATATTGACAAGGCAGCCGATTTCGCCGTCAAAAGCTCTTACTACAACCCTTGGAAGATTGAAAGAGGAGCTATTAGAGAATTTATCGGGAGGGCATACGTGGGCGAGGACGTAAGAGCGGACTTTTAGTTGAATTGACTCATGTCATTACTCACTTGAGCCTTCTAGAACTATCAACACAACTTACAACTCAAGGAAAACCTTTTCAAATGCTCTTGTCAGGACTAATTGTGTTTATAAGACACAACGTTGTTTAAGCTTGAAGTATTCAACAGGAGACTTCAAAAGGTTATAATTCCCGGAAAAGTTCTTTGAATCTGGATCTGATGTCTAATATCCGTTCCTTTTGCCATGTATAATCTAGCACCACCTGTATTATAGAATTACGAGTATTTTCGGAAGTGATCAATTGATTTGCTGATTCGGAAATTCGGAAGGCACTATTCCTCAACTGGGACCAAGCCAAGACAAGACAAGTTGCTGCGATTTGTTCTTGGCCCATTGTCTGGCTGATGAAATTGCAATTTGAGATTGACCAGGGTAGCGTGGCTGCACAGCATCTCTTTTGCGTGTGCGTGATAGCGGGGCGGAAGTGGTACAGTACCATTCTGGACGCTATCCAGTGCCAATATTCTGTAGGGATTCCTTCGCTTAACGTACTATACCCGAGGCGTTTGAGGGGAAATCAATAATGGAAAGCCTATCACTATCCTAGCCCTATATTATCAGGAAAGCCGGAAACCCACTTTTCCGGGCTAGAGCTGCTTCTGTGGGATATCTAGCGATCCAGGTCAACAGGTCGATTAGAGAGATAGTATGTTGAGCTGTTTTGATTAGATAATTCAACACAGAATCTGATGGTATGATGTCGTTGAAGCTCAACGAACCCAAGCTATTGACCCTTCAGAAGAGAGTTGTTGTACTTAAAGGCAAGTCAATAGCAATCTATCAGTATTATTTTAAGTTCTACACACAATTTCATAACTAGCTTCCAAAACGTGACTTCTCTGTGCTGCATCAAAAACACCTAAACGTTATATTTTAATTTACAATAATGTTTGATTTGATTTGATTTCATTTATGTCCACCTTCAGTCTAAGACTATATAGGATGGCTAGGTCTTTAGAGACTCTAGTAGATAACTTTTTATTCTACAAAAATGAATATATACAATTTAGGGAAATAAAAACAAATGCTGGGGAATAGTGCCCGCTTATTATACGTATTGTATATAATAAAAAAAATTATAAAAATCAAGAAATTGTAAGGAAATCAAAGCCCTCTTTTATTTCTCTAATTACTTTTTCTTCATTCTTTTTTTCTTTTTCCTTTTCTATTACTATTTCTTCCTCTATCTTATCTTGTATGAGAGCCCTGACCAGATGCCATGCTTTTATGGTGATTTTGGTAATATTGATAAATTTAATGGCTAATTCAATATCTATTTTTGTATAGAGTAGGAATTGTATAGTGATTTTAGATAATGATATATTCTTGAATATTTCTTTTCTCTTTGCTTTATATATAGAACAACTAATAAGGAGATATTGTGAAGCCTCAATATTATTATATATATATTTGTTATTAGAGAGTTTGAATCGGTATAAATAAGATTTGATATATTTATGATCTAATTTGAATTGAAAATATGTGCTAGTAGTGTTTCACTTGATTTCACTTAATAGCTTGATTTTCAATCCTATTTTCTATAAAAATAGCTTTGAATAAATCAAAAAGAATTGATTTGATCTGAGTTTATATTAATTAAAAGTAAAAAGCCATTGATTTGAATCATACTCTTTGATTATTATACCTAAAAGTTTAAAACTTGTTTTGTTTGAGATAGAATGTATTGTAATTGCCTCCTTTACTAGTTTATCTACTAGCTCATTTCCTTTTATTAAAGTATATTCTGAAACCTAATTTAGAAATATTTCAGCTCCTTTTGCTTTAATAATTTCCACTACTTTGATTATTCGAATCTAATAAACCTATCCAAAGTGATCTAATGGTATTTTTAAGCAATATAAACCAGCTTGATTATCCAAATATATCTTGAATTTGTTGTTAATACAGGCAATTGTACTAGCATATTTAATAGCTTTAGTAATCCTATAAAGCTCTTCATTATATATTAATTAATTACTATCAATATTTAATTATTATTAATATGAAATTCGATTGTTTGATTGTATTGTAATTATACCTATATCTATATCTATTTCTTTTTTCATAAAAGAAGTATCAGTATAAATATAGATAATATTCTTATCTCTATGATTGAAAACGATATTATAAAGAATAGCAATATCTTCTTTTGATAAATTGCTAATATTAACTCTAAAGAGAATTTCCTTTTTCCATGGGGGAAAGTTGAAGTAAATAATCTTTTCAAATAAAATAGGATTGAGATCCTGATTTATTGATTCTCTAATTCTATCAAGTTGAATTAATTTATATCGTTTTCTTTGAGGAATAGGGATTACTTCCAAATCGGTTTAATATTGAGCTGATATTTCTTTTTCGATATTAATTAAATAGTTTGGCGAGAATTTAGTTAGACGAAATGTATATTGCCTAATATTTGAATCTAATTGAATTTTTGGGGGCTTTAGGCCTACTTCTATTTTTATTGGAAGGATTGGGGCTGTTTTGAAGACTCCTAATATCTTTCGAAAAGCTAGGTTTTGAAGCGATTGTATTATATTCTTGAAATGAATTTAATCTCTCCACCAAATCATTGATCCGTAATCAGTTATACTAGTTATATATACTATATATAATTATCTAAGGGCTTTAGGATTAAGGCCTTTTTCAGTATTAGCTAATCGAGCCATTCGATGGAAGGCACCTTTCACTTGTATGATTCGAATATTAACATATTGATCGAATTTGAGGTTTGGGTTAAACCATATTCCCAGCCATCTAATGAGAGATTGGGGTACAATTATTTCCGAATTGAATAGTGTGATTGGATATTTTTTCGTTAATTTGAATAATGAAAAGTGTATTAGCTCTATTTTTGCCAAATCGAATTGGATTGTATTTCTAGAACTGAGTTTATAGATTTGTTTTATAACTCTCTCTAAGATTTTGATATTCTTTTTTCATATAAATAAATATATGATTAAAGCAATATTATTTATATAGGAAAGAAACTTAATTGAATTGGGTAAAAAGAGCTCTCTAATATATATAAGAAAAAGAATTGGAGAAATCGGGCTGCCTTATGATATTCCAATCGAAATTGGTTTGAAAGATTCGATTTGATTATTAAAAGATAGTTTCAATTATCTTTATTAAAGAAATGAGGCTATCCAGACTATTAGATTTGTGGGTAGTTTTAGTTTCTTACAAATATCTAATAATCGATTTCTCGAAATGTAATCAAATACTCCCTTTATATTTATAAATAATATTGAGGTCTTTTTATTAGCTTATTTGTTTCTTTCAATTTCTATAGTTAGTAAAAGTGCAGTGTTGATTGCTGATTTCTTTTGGTGTTCTTCTATTTAACTCTTATAAAGAAAATAAATTATTTCCATTAAATATCCTAATTATTGAGCTAAAATCCTTTTGCTTATTTTATCCAGGCAATTTAAAAGTACAATTATTCTATATACTTTTGAAAGGGAATAATTTGGTTTGAAAGCTTTCTTCAGAATAGCTCCTATGGCTTGT